GAAATGTGGGAGAGGGATTGAGAAGAGAGAAAAGAGGGAGAAAAGAGAGAGGAAGCTTATCGAAGGAGAGCGAGAGAGAGAGGGGAGTGTCGAAATTATAAGGGTTAAGATTATTCTGAGATGGATTAATTTTTGAAGCAAAAGGAGGGTTTTATTTGGTATTTGGGCCATGCTCAAAATTCAAAACCAAAATCCCAAGAAACAAACTTAAAAAAAAAAACATCAACCGATATTGCGGATATCGGGATATATATCAGATATTAGGGGTGATGTATCGAAAAAAACTTCTAAAAATAGAAAAATGCTATAACTTGTAAATATCATTGTGGGCTATTGTAGAATTTGATATATTGGCTGCTTTTTATGTGATGCCTCCTACCCTGTCCTTAAACTCTCCGCTCCCCTATTACCCTCCATCTGCCTTTTTGTCCTCTCCTCTTTCCTTCACCTGTTCGATAAATTGTCTCGAGAAAACTTTCTCTTCAACTACCATAGGAGGATTAAGCAGGAGTTGAGGGGTGAAATGAAGGGAGGAGGAAGAAGATGTAGGGGGTGAGGATGAGATTATCTACTCCTATATACTTAAAGGAGAACCCAAAGAATTATTGTTCATGCTACAGTAAATGCTATAGTAAATACTATAGTATAAACAGTAAATCAAATATGGTCATCTGCACCCGAAGTTACTGTTTATACTACATTATTTACTATAGCATAAACAATAAATCAAATATACTCCTCTATACTTAAAGTTACTATTAATAATGCAGTGATTTATTGCATCATAAACAGTAAAGCAAATCAATTGTATTAAAACATTGGATCCATTTTAAGTATAGAGAAGTAGATATGATTCCTAATTTTAAGCATTAAATAATTAAATTAAATGTATTAAAACTTAAAAGAAAACAAGTTCAAAATGCAACGCTTAAAAAAATAGGAGGCTGTGCTTTGCGGGGTGCACACTAGTTGGTGTAATAGAGGGAGAGGAGATGAGGGGTGGAGAGGAGATGAGGGGTGAGGGTATATGTGAAATTTCACAAAAAGTATCAGCTGGATTCTCCCGAATGTGTGATTTTGCAAATATGTAAGCAAGTTTATGTGGTTTTCACATTAAAAAAAATAAAGATAGTAAATATAAATTTAAGAAGTAAGGTAATCCTTATAAGTAATGCACAAAACCTGTTTGTTGAAGTTGATGACACGCTGATGATGCTGTAGCGAAGGTTCACAGGATGCATAACAAGTAACAACTTGTTTTTCTTTTTTCTTTTTTTTGGAAATCCCAGATATTATTATTATTATTATCATCAGAAAATAAGTTCAGAAAATATTGGGCTGTGGACCTAGAGTTGGCCTATGGACCTCCACAGCTTACCAAACGGCCCAAACCCAGAAAAACCCAACGTTAAACTCCCATCTCGTTAAATCTTCCGCATTCCAAATCCTGTGCCCAACAATCCCACCCTACACCCCCCCCCCCCCCCCCGCACCGCGTCAGCCCGCCGCCCCTCAGGTCAATGAAGAATCCTCCGCCGCCGCTGCCTCCCGGCCACAACTCGCACGGCCAAAGCCACGCTCTCCAACAACAACACCAACAGCAAGCAGGCAGCTCTTCCAGCAACAGCATCTTGCTCCTGCCCATCAATACCAACAGGCAGCAGCAGCAAGCGAGCAGCAGCAGCAGCATATCTCAACATCCCAGCAATCGCACCCCAACACCATCCCAACATCCTCAGCCTCCACAGCAGCAAGCGATCTCCCGTTTCCCTCCAACATCGACGCTCCACTCCGAGCCCCCGGCCTCGATCCCTCCACCTCCAGCAGCAGCAGCAGCAGCAGCAGCAGCACCATCAGCCCTCGGCCGTCAGCTCTTCGTCCTCTCCGTCGCCGCCGCGGCCGCGCCGCGCCCTCCCGCTGCCGCGCACCACCTGCAGATCCAGCAGCAGGCAGCGCAAGGCGGCGGCGGTCAGGCAGGGGGCAACCTCCGTGGAGGTGCGAGATGGCGCATCAGGACGCGATGAAGGTTTGCAATCCCGATGTCAAGAGGCCCTTTGCTTCCGTTGAGGACGCTGTGATCAGGTAAACCCAGGGTTAGGGTTAGGGTTTCCGATTTTGGGCGGTATTGGGATTTCTCTGTCTTTCTGTGTGGTGAAAATTGGTTTCTTTCTTTCTTTCTGGATTATCTTATTTGGTTACTGCTGGGGCAGTTGCGCCTTGACAATTATTAGATAAGAAGTGAAGTTTCCATATGAGATGAATTTGAATAGAGAAAAGGAAATGATTTTTTTTTTTCATTTCAATAAACCATGTTGTTACAATGATTTTGGATACACAGCATGGCGTTATTCATGTACTTTATTCTTAAAATTTGAGTTTCTATATGTTTGGTTGATTTTCTGAGCTAGGTTACGGCGAGCCGTTTTACTTGTTACATGGTTTTGTGAAAATTCAAGAGAGTTAATTCAGCAAAATGTGTGTCAATTTGCTAAAATTTAGGATATCAACAGAAGGAGTTGCACATTTACCTAGGCATTGATGAATGGGTATAGTGAAAGAGTCCCAAGGGTATGAACGTGAATGTTGTGCAATCTGAGAATATGTATAAAAAATGTGCTCATCGATGAGCAAACCCTGGCAAGTTGAAAACATAAATGAACATATTGAGAGGAATTTCAGGGCATTTAAATGGCAGATAAACTGAGGAAAGTTTGTCTTGGATAGGGGCACTGATCTTGAGTAATGTGATTATAGCCAGCAAAAAGATCTGAGAGAAAACTTTTTTAACATTATTTTTCTGAAGTGGTGGCTGCACCTGATATCAATAGTTGAAGTAGCCGGTGTCCATATATTTCCGAGAGCTAACAGATCTCATGTCAGAGTCAAACTCAAATTTGCAGTCCCATTCTTTATCAGATCAACTCAAGAAGATCAGCTATAATCCTTAGAGATCATGTTATGCGGTTAAAGTTACACCGAAATTGAGGTTCCAGTCATTTTAGTTGACAGTTATATCTTAAAAATTACTACTGTATATTGGATAAACCTTTTTTTGTAGTTGTGGTTATTTTTAGTTTCTTATATAGCCTGCGAACTTATAGAGGGTTAGAAGTCAGTTAACAACTTGACCTTTAAGATTTATAGTTATGCTTCACCACTATCTAAATTTGATTGAGCATTTTGTTAGTACTATAAATTGTGTAGGGGTGAAAAAGTATGTCTGGAAAATGTAAATGTTAGAAGAAGAAAAGCTGTAATGGTTTGTATATATACATGAAGTCTTCTACTTTCATAAATATTGTATACGAAGCACATTTCTAGCAAATGAAAGTGAAAAAGTCATGTTAGGATGACGCCAATTTCAAATGTAGACCAACATTTTTTGTTGGTCTTACCCATAGAACTGGAAACATAAATCTCCAAGGATAGAAGTAGGTCTTCCTTCCTGAAGAAAGTATATCTCAAATAATTAGATCATGATGCCGAAACAAGGAGAAGAAGAGAAGAACACAAGTGGAACAAGGATAAAAACTCTCTCAAAGGAATGTACCTAAGAGTAGAGATCAATAGAAGGGAACTCATGTCACAAAAGATAACTTTTCATTCAACTTGAACTAAAACTTCACGAAAGATAATTTTGCATTCAACTTGAGCTAACTCATGGTTCATAAAAGAAGAGTTACATAGAGTTTCTAATAGCTAGCAAAACTCTCCTTTAAGCATTAATTGCTCTCAACAAATTATAACATCTAAAGTAGAAGCTACAAATAGCTAGGCTAGACTGTCTAATCTGTACGTCCTACAAATACAACTTGCACATGCATAATGATCTCTAAAATATGGAAACTCTCAAATTGAATTATATATCACTGGAAAGCTTGTTAAGTGTAATTTTTAACATTTTATGAGTTAGATCATTTGGATTTCTCTAGAAAAAATTACAACTGAAAGAATGCCGAAGGGTCAGGCAGACTAGTTGAGCTCAGCTCTGCCCCATGCCTTGGGACACACTGACATTAAGAACCTGTAATGGAGTGTAGAAACCGACATTAAGAATGAGATTGAGCAAATGAAAAGTAGTGCATTGCATGATGTACAGGCTAACATCTCGGAACATGTGAGGCCAATAGAAGCTTGGGTAATCTCTTGAGGAGCTTAGTTGGCAAGAACATTGGTCAATGTGATTTTTCTTTGCCTCAATCTTAGTTTGCCTATAATCACTCATGTAGTTAAACAACTGGTAGGAGCCCTTTTGAAGTAGTCTACGGGAGGAACCCAATTAGTCATGTGGGTTTAGCTCCTTTTTGTACAATTTATCATGATAGCGGAGTTGCTGTTGATAAGCATAGAAAACCGGCCATATTCAAAGAAGGTGTCTTGTTTTAGTTTCATCTTTGCAAAGAGCGCTTTCCACACGGTTGGCATGACAAATTAAAGCTAAGGGCAGATTTTCTTTGAAGGTTCTTTGTCGCATAGATGACAATGCTTATAATATCAAACTTCTAGGAGATTGACGCCTTGGCAAGCTTCAATGTGCCTGATCATTCTCCATATTATGAAGAAGAAGATTTGAACTTGGGAATGAGTTCTCTTTTCAGGGGAGATGACAATGGAGCGTCCCAAGCCAATGGGCATACCTGAGGTCAACCGGCATGCCTACTCTTACTTCAGGTGTAACTTTCTCTAGAGAAATCCAAATCATTAAATAGGGTCTTTCTAATTTAAGTGAGTTGACAGCTGGAAACAACATTGGACATGCTATTCTTGGTTGTCTCTAATTGCATTGTTTTTTGCATAGGAGAAGAACCCCTTGGTTTTATTTTATTCTTTGTTTCTTGAAGTTTTTTTTTGGGGGGGGTAATGGCCAATATAAACTAAAGTTCTGTCATGCTTTTACTGTTAGTAATTCAAAGCAAGAATCTTATAATCAGGGTAAATTGTACAAAAATGACATTGTTTTATTTTTTTCACTTTAATGGTCCCACTTATATAGCTTCAGGTGTAATGGCCAATATAAACTAAAGTTCTGTCATGCTTTTACTGTTAGTAATGCAAAGCAAGAATCTTATAATCAGGGTAAATTGCACAAAAATGACTTAGGGGCTGTTTGTTTCCTTTTTTTTGAGAGGAAAAGGTGGGGAAAGCCTGCCAAAAGTGCAGTTTTTGGCAGGCTTTCCACCCAAATCGTCTCTAAAAGAGGCGATTTGGGTGGAAAGCCTGCCAAAAGCTGCACTTTTGGCAGGCTTTTGACAGGCTTTCCCTATCTTTCCCTCTAAAAAAAGGAAACAAACAGCCCCTTATTGTTTTATTTTTTTCACTTTAATGGCCCCACTTATATAGCTTCACCTAAATGGCCCCACTTGTAAAACTTTTCACTTTACTGGCCCCACTTGTAAAACTTTTCACTTTACTGGCCCCACTTGTAAAACATTTTATTTTAATTACCCCACTAGTAAAACATTTCATTTTAACGATGTCACTTGTAAAACATTTCACTTAAATGACCCCAATTGTAAAACTTTTCACGTAAAATGAGTAACAACAAGCATTCATACGCTTAACTTTTTTAACTAATATGTCTTAGGATGACATTAACTAAGCAAAAACTAAAATTATAAATGAGAAAAACAAATCTGTAACAAACACAAGATTAATTCTCATTAATACTTAAAAACTTCAATTACAAGATGAGCATTCATATGCTTACAAGCTTGACTACACCAATCCACTCATTTCACATATATTTCATAAAAAATACTATGAAAAAACCACAAAAAACACCCCAAATACAACTAACAGAGTTCTTCTATTTGAAGATACATAAGGGTAGGTGACTATAAACTAATGATGTGCCAGAGGTAACAAATGACTCCATAATGTCACGTGACCGCTCACATGGAATATTCCCCGTATATTTTAACATATCATTAACGTTTTGAACTTTAAGTCATTAAGTTGCAACATTTGTAAGCATTTGGATTTTTATTGAAAAGTTTTACAGGTGGGGTCATTTAAGTGAATTTTTTTACAAGCGGGGTCATCTAAGTAAAAAGTTTTACAAGTGCAGTTATTTAAGTGAAAAGTGTTACAAATGGTGTCATGTAAGTAAAACGTTTTACAAGTGGGGTCATGTAAGTGAAAAGTTTCGCAAGTGGGGCAAGTGGGGTCATTAAAGTGAAAAGTTTCGCAAGTGGGGTCATTAAAATGAAAAAAGTGAAACGGTAGGTCATTTTTTATGGAATTTACCCTTTTTTGTTAAGGAAATGTGGGTCATACACACACACACACGTATAGACACACACACACACACATTCATATACACACATTATACATATACATACACACACATTATCTATACATACACATACATATACACATTATCTATATACATACGCATACATTATGTTATTTGTGCACATCATTAAAAGGATCCTGTACACACTGTAATGCCAAGCTTACCTTTGCTAATTGTTGGTAGTGATTAGGCTGCTTGGTTACGTTCTGTGAAATCTAACTGGCATGTGCATACTGGTACTAAATTACAAGGCATTGCAAGTTTAACATCATGACCATAATTTTATTGCATTCTGGGGGTGGGGTGGGTGGGGACAACCAGCCACTAACAGATAACAAGATAGATTAGTAGTTTTTTTTTCCGGACAAGTTCACAATGTTCTGGATATCAGTTTACTATTTCTTTCATTTGAAAGGGGTCAGTTAGAGTTAAGGGTGTTACCGGGAAACACATTCTCAATGACTGCCCTGTGTGTTTACCCTTTTAGTCTTATTTGTTCTTACAAAGAATGAAAAGTACCTAACAGTTGATGAGACCTCAATTTTTATACTGAAATTATCTTGTATAGTTTATTCTTTATGAAGTACTGTTCTTTAAGAATAGTAACTTGGGAAATTGAAACCTAAGGAGACATGGTGCATCCATGCATACTGTTGTCTACTCTGTATAACATGTCGACGTGACCCTGTGGTTTGTGAGGTCCCACCTATCGGTCAATGTAAGTACCAAAGTCTATTGTAGCTGTTGTACAATTGGCTTGACTTTTCTTTTGATAGGTTGAGTGATCCCCGTTTTTTGGTCAATCTGAAACTTGAACTGGATCAGTTGGGAACTTCAAACAAATTGTTTTGATATACTTGTTCTGATTTTTCATTTCATGTTTTTTTGTGGTGTCAACCTGGCTGTGATTCCCTTGACAACTAGTATTGCTTATCATTTGTTTTTGGTTAAAACTAGTGGGTCTACTTGGGACCTCCACCAAGTAATATGTAACTTTAATTTTCAGAATTTACTCTACTCAATTGCTTTTGGTAATTTGTGGCAATGTGATTTATGACTTTCTCTGGTATGATGCGCAAACAACTTTGCCTTGGAAATACTTGGAATTCATTCTTTCATCATATCTGGTCTTTGCCTAAGTTACCTTTATCTTCTTATATCATCATTTCTGTCTTTCAGTTTGAAGTTTCTGGTAACATGCGAAACATGGTTTGCATAGTTCAAGAACTTAGTCAGTTAATTGGTGTACCCAGTTTATATAATCCTTGGGTTTATGGGTAGAAAAATCCCTATTTGGCTACAATATAACATATGTCAAGGGCATGAATAAAATCTGTAACATATTATGGTCAGAATCTATATTGGTTCCTGTATATCATGGTTATGAGAAATATCTGTTTGCTTCTAACTCTTCAATTTGAGACACTGGTTTTGTCTCCATAGGGTAAGTCTTCGCCACATAAAATGAATGATGTCTTTCATGGATCCATTAATTTATTAGGATTTCTTGAGATAATTAACATCAGCATATAATACTGATTTATGCAATTATAGGTATTATATTACTTGTAATTGTTAGAGAAAGCATAGACTGGAGTGACAAATATGTTTCCTGTACTATATCATGCTTTTAATGCTGTATCTATTAAGCTCCAATGGAAATAGCAAGCCAGATCCCAGAGAAAACATAGGATACGGATGCTGAGTAAACATGATGTAGGCATGCATGTTGATGTGGATGCCCTGGAATAAACTTAAGCTAGAATTACATAGAAGCTCACTCATTCCTGAATTAGAAAGTTTATTGCATGATTCCTCCCTCAAAAATGTTAGCAGCAGTAACTTATGGAGTTATAGGAATTATTACACTATGGACTCTTATTGAGCATATACCATGTGAGACTATCTGTGCAGGATTTAGAAGAAATTAATGCTAGTGTAATTATGAGTATTCTTTCATGATTCCTTGCTAAAAGAAAATAATTCTAGTGATGAGTTAATTTGTTAGTTCATAGGAATTATTTGTAATCATGACTCTACTTGAGCATATCCCATGTGACATTATTCACTGGGGATGATACGCTAGAACTTACCAACGATTTACATTTATTAAAGAAAATTGCTTTTGAAAGCCCTTTATTCATCCTACATTCCTATGCCAATGTTGAGCAAAATATCAGTCTCAGTCCAGTTTGAATCCAAGACACAGCCTGGTCATGCCCGAGCTTTACATATACACAACACATGTTGCACATGATAAAAGACCTCGATGAACATGTCTTCATGTCAACCACTATTGCGTATATGGGTATTATGTTATTCTTCATGTTAGCCACTATTGCGTATTGCATGTCTGGGTATTATATTGCGTATATGGGTATTATGTTATTTATTCACTCACAGAGAGATAAAAAAATGAACGTTGAGTCTCTTATCCTCTAGTAACATGTATTTACAGTTTCTTCTCGCTGCAGTAACTCTTGTGCCACTCTCTTGCTATTTCTTCCTTTCTAAATGTCACCCCCACCCCACCCAAAAAAAATCAAAAAAAAAAAAAAAACATGCGGCTCTCTTCCCCTTCTGAAACCCTTTTTTTGCGCCTCTTTGTTACCTGTGTTCTTGATAGTTACATGACATAAAGAGGTGTTGTTCTTAACTGGGGGCAAAGATGGTAGGTAGTCCTCTACATGTCTCATGGATCTATTAGCAAGCAGGCTATGTTTTTCTATTCTTCTCAGTAATATTTCCTTGATGTGCAAGTCACACAAGTAAATGCTTATGCTCAAAATATATTTGAATTTAGTGCTGAAGTAATTGATGTTATTGCAATAGCATGTTTATTCTGTGTTGTCAGCACATATGATTGTCTGATACCTTGATGCTGAAGCATCTGGCTTACCGGTACTCTCACATTCCCGTTGTCGAGACACTATAAGAACTATAGCATGCCAGAAACAGGGAGTTGAGGTTGTTAGACCTATACCCCGAAATGCTCCCAGCATGGCAGGCTATGGTTCCATTCTTCTTGTTGCTGGAGGTACACATACCTCCAGCAACAACATGGCAGAAACGGGAGTTCAGGTGGTTAGACCTATACCCCGAAATGCTCCCAGCATGGCAGCCTATGGTTCCATTCTTGTGTCACTGGAGGTACACACACCTATGGTTCCATTCAGTGTGGAGCGATAAACGAAAAATAGATGCTGAGCCTGCAATATGTGATAGTGGCACTGAAGTAGTGAATCTATTGGCACCACAGCAGTGGCATACAACGTTGGACAAACTTAGCTAGAACATCGACCAGGATGGGATGGCCAGGCCCCGGTTCCTAGGGTTAGGGTATTCCCTATGTTGAGCCTACTCAGATCAGAAATAAACTTGTTGATCCTCTTTCGTCTATCGGCTGGCTTTAAGCAACCTTCGCATTTCCTGCTG